TGTCAAAAAAAGATATATGGAAAAAGTTTCCATGCGCATTCATGAATCAACATATCTAAACGCCTCAATTAAATCCAGCCTAATCCTCCCTATATATAATTCCAGAATGCGCTGAGCCTACGTGGCTGATTCTGGTGCTTCGGAATCCTATTTGGCGAAGAATCATGCTTCGTAATTAGGTTTGGATAAATAATATTGATATATTAATAATTAATAATCTAGGTTCGGGTATTCCATAAATATTATTTAGCTAACTTAGGTATTTTAATATCACTTTTACTAATATAACCCTTTAATTCTTAGTAATTTTACATAGTGAGACACTAAATGACTAATATATCCCTGAATTTTGATTTGTTTCCTTCAATAAGCTATTGAATTATAAATGTATTTTAAAAGTTGATAACTTTTGTATTTCTTATCGGTTTTACATATATAATATATCAAATTAATCATCTTTTGATGATCTTCGATTTGACATCCATATTGTATATATGAAATAAATAAATTATATTTATCTTTATAATAATAATAAATAATAATATTTATTAAAATTCATTCGAAAAATAAAATTATTTCTCAACTGATATATTTATATGTAATGTAGTTATATATTGTAAGTTAAAAAAATTAGTATAATATAACACAAGTAAATTGCACAAATAAAAAGTGTCATAATAAATATATAATAATATATATATTCTTATAAAATGTATTTAAATTTTCAAACTACTTTTTTCTCATTAATTTTAGATTTTAAGAAAAAAAATTAGCAAGCACCCGTGTAATACACGGGTGTTGTACTAGTCTCACACTAATGCCGGATACTATGAACCTAATCAGCTATCTCAACTCCTAATTACTATAACTAACTAATTAAATTATAGTAAGAAATTTATTAATATGTATTAATATATATTATTACTAAAAGTTGACTTTGTAGATACGGACTACAGTTTATTAGGCTATTATTCTTGTACTTATAACCATATTTTAAGTAATATATTTTTTTTTTGGTAGCCAGCCACGGTATTCGGAGCTATGCCCTGACTAATCCGTTGGTCGACCCGAGTCGCAGACCTGGCAGTGGTAGGTGAGTCTCCCAACAAGGGTTTTCTGCATCCACAAGGACTCGAACCCGAGACCTTGCTTAAGCGACATCAAACTGCTTACCACTTGAGCCAACCCCTGTTGGTATTTTAAGTAATATATTGATTACAAAAGTTTCGATATGAAGCCAACAGTTGACTTCAAAGTAGAGTCAACATTCTATATACAACAAATAAATTATATCATATTCTCTGATTACGTACATCATATCATAAGTTTTAAGTGATACCCACTTTACTTTTTGACAACTATTTGATTTACGAATAAGTGACTTTTTTTTTTTTTTATAAAACAAAAAGAGAGAGAATTAACAAATTTAAATTTTGTTTAATACTATTCTCATTCAAATCTCCTTAAATCATACATGATACATGAATATATTTATCTATTTTGATAGTCATTCTCTTTCTTTTACTTAAAGTTTAATTATTTTATCTTATACTTTGGTGATCTCTTTCTATTATTTAAACCCTTTTATATACATGAAAATATTTATTTATTATTATTTAAACCCTTTTATATTATAATAGTCTAAGACGTTAAATAATTAAAATAAAAATATACTATCTAAACGACAGTTAATTAGTTATACTAATCGTGGAGTATAATTTATCTATAATGAAGACTTGATTTATTTCCAAGACAAATGAAAAATAGTTTGTAAGAGATCTAATACGATGTTTTAAGAGATGCTAAGTTGTTTATTATATATTATTTTTAATAAAATGTAAGAGAAGAGAAGATCCAAATCCATATTCAAAAATTCAAATACAAATTCAAGAAGAGAATAATTCAAGGAGACGTATAGAGATTATACCCTCAAAAATCGTTTGATCGAAATAAATCAAGTTGTACAAAAGTTTTATGATTTTCATAAAATTTATTGTCACAAATTTGGCACGTCCAGTGGGACATTCTCTACCTCTCATTCTTCGCTTTAAATCAAGTTCCAAGATATTTGAATATCCATGAAGACATATTTGAAGAAAATGTAAAGAGAGCAACTAAGAATGATGTTTTTTCAAGCCATGAAGCCTTCGTACGAATGGAAGATAAACAAAGTGGTCTTCTATATCATTTTCAAATTCCATGGGAGCAATTTACATTAAGAGCTTCATTAAATCAAATTCACCAAGCTCCTTGATACGAACCTAAACTATCTACAAATTCAAAATGCTCATTGATATGAGTTTAAACTATCTACAAAATTGAGCTTAAACTATCTACAAAATTAAAGTTCTCTTTGATATGAGCCTAAACTACCTACATAATCAAATGCTCCTTGATACGAGCTTAAAATATCTACAATGCTTTTTGATATGAGCCTAAACTATCTATAAAGCTCATTGATATGAGCCAAAACTATCCAAATATCTAATTCAAATGCTCCTTGATAAGAGCTTAAACTATCTATATGGCTTCTTGACACGAGCATAAAATGTCTACAAGTTTGAAGATCTCCGTGACACGAGAATAAAAGGTCTACAATTCAAATATGAAGCTCCTTGACACGAGCATAAAATGTCTACAAATTTGAAAACTCTTTGACACGAGTATAAAGTATCTGTCAAACCATATGAAAGACTCCTTGATACGAGTATAAATTATCTACAAATCAAATCAAATCAATAACTCCTTGATACAATTATAAACTATCTACAACTCAAATCAAATCAAGAACTCCTTGTTACGAGTATAAATTGTCTACAAATCAATCCAAATAAAGAACTCTATGATATGAGTACAAACTATCTACTAAGTTAAATCAAGAACTCCTTGATACGAATATAAACTATCTGTCAAATCAAATGAAGACTCCTTGATACGAATTTAAACTATCTGCTAATCAAATCAAATGAAGAACTCCTTGATATGAGTTTAAACTATTTACAAACTCAAGTCGAAGAACTTCTAGATAAGAGTGTAAACTATCTGCATGTCCAAACCAAATTCAAAACTTTGAGACTCATTCACTACTAAGACATTTTGTCTGTGAACAAGTCTCGAGGGGGCATTTGTAGACTCGAAATTTTAATATTTTATTAATTAATATCTATTTATTTTTTGACATAAATTCATGATAAATAAGATTTATAATTAATAATGTAAATGTTTCTGCCTACCAAATCAAATCTTAAGATTAGAAAAAAAAATTATATCAAATCTTAGGATAAAGAAAGAGATTATATCAAATCGTGAAGGACCAATCAAATTGAAGTCTTCTTCTCCAAGACTCTCTCATACACCTATAAATAGGGTTATCTTCAAAACCACAAATCACACCTCATAAATTAAAGTCTCACGTTCAAGAGCTCTCTTCAAGAACTCTTGATGATTTGAAAACGTTCGAAGATCCAAGGGCGCTCAAGAGACCGGTTCAATCCCCAATCAAGTCTCCTAACCTCCAAAGTGCGATCAATGGAGAATAAAGCCAAGAAGAAGAAGAAAGAGGTGGCGGTCCTTCTCCAATAAAGAGACGACATCTATTTCTTTCAAATCATTCAACAACATCAATGACGTTCAAGCAACATTCAAGCCGCGTTAGTCGAGAAGTTCAAGCAATGTAGCGTTTGATCCGGGAAAAAGCTCTCAAGCCCTTGAGTCAACGTTATGCAAGCTCAAATCCATATTCAAAGATCTAAATCCAAATCCATGAAGAGAAAAATCAGAGGAAATACATAGAGATTGTACGCACAATAACATTTGATCGAAATAAATCAAGTTGTACAAAAGTTTTATGTTTTGCATTCATTGTCACAAATCGACTTTCAAAGTCTCAAATTCAATAGCTCTTTCTCTTGAAGATTTGAAAAAGTTCTTGAAGAACCAAGGACATTCAAGTTGAAAATAAGCGTTCAACCCACAACCATTAGAACCGCCGAAGTCTATTTAATGAAGAAGAAGAAAAAGAGGCGACGGCTCTTCCCCAAAGAAATAAAGAGACGAATTCCACTTCTCTCATCAATCAAGAATATCAACAACGTTTAAACAACATTCAAGTCGCGTTCGTCGAAAAGTTCAACCAGCATAACATTTGGTCCAGAAAAAAACTATCAAACCCTCGAGTCAACGTTATTCAAGCCAAAATACACATTCTAGGAAGATCAAAGAAGCAAATCCTCCAAGAAGTCGTCTTCAGTCAAATCAACTCCTAACATTTAATACCGGAATAAGTTATTTGACCCCCAAATTAATGTTAGAGAAATTCAAGATCAAGCCCAAAGAAGATCCAAGTCCAATTCCATATTCGAATATCCAAATCCAAATTCAAGAAGAGAATAATTAGAGGAGACATAAAGATTATACCCTCAAAATCGTTTGATCGAAATAAATCAAGTTGTACAAAAAGTTTTATGTTTTGCATAAAATTCATTGTCACAATTGTCTAATAATCTAGTAATATTAATAAAGGAACTTATAAAATGCTACAAAACAAGTTATGTGAAGATGTTATTTTATTTTCAGTTTAAATGTTCTTAAATCTTATATTTGCATTTTATAAGTTGTTTCGAAAAATAAATTACCAAGAAACCTATGAGCTTATATGATTTTTAAACACTTAAAAAATGTTTCAAAGAGCATATAAAACCCAACCAAACATCAAGAAATTGAATATATTCCTTTTGTTATTCACTAATCCATGTCACATGTATTCTTCAAGTATTTGTTTAGGAAAGTATCGTTTGCATTCTATGGTACCGTTGCATAAGTCAACAAGCTACCAGAGATGGAAATCAATCACCTAGTTGGGTGACAAAAACATGGTAAGTATCTCGTTTGATATCTAATAAGCAGCTCAGTTGGACATTTTTTTTTTTTTTCACTTTTCTTTTCTGCTTACTCAGTTTATGGGTCAGTTGGACAGCAGCTTTAACCAGTAAAGACGATGCTCAGCCGCAGATATTAATGTCGGGAAAATCATCTAAGCAGCTCAGCTTCTCCAGAATCAGCTTTTCTTGCTTCATGTCTAGTTACACCACTTTCTGTCAAGGGACAACTAAAATCTGAACCCAGGAGCAAACAACTATTACTAATAAACTAAAAAAGGTGTTAGCCCAGCTAGTTAACAGGGTTTGCATTAACGATTCTTGTTTCGATTTTACCAAAAAAAAAACACAACCCTTTTTCGCAATGCTTAAAACTGCATTTCCCCTTTCTACACTTCAAATAGCCAGCTTAAAAAACCTTAAACGTTGTAGTTTTACCACAGTCACAATTTTAAATAATTCTCTTTTTGGAAATAGAGAGATTGTGAAGGATACATTCTTGGTCAGGGTTGTCTGTGAAATTTGAGTGCAGTGCATTCCCAACACTGTCGACTATTGCTGAGGTGGTCATGGATGACTCGACACATAATATGGCCGCAATTGCATCCAGCCGGGTCACCTCATTCCGGAACATGAGCCTCGCATGTGCTATATATACATCAAGTTGGCAAATTTAAGCAACTGAAAAAAAAATAAAAATAAAAATCTAGAAATATCAGTCATGTACCTTGAGCTAGGCGTATCAAGCTTTCCAGCATGCGAATTGTTGTCCTTGCTGCAATACATTTTTATTTACGAATATATACACACACACATAATACGAGAAAACAATGATGCTATAGAATAACTAAAGCAGTTTGTGAAAAAAACCTGCATTTTGAGCGGCTGATCGTCTCTGCAGTTGATAATAGCTAGATATAATCTTTTCAGCCTCCTTAGTGAGGACTGGTCTGAAATATCCTTTCACGTAATAAATATACCTGCTCGTGAAGTGGCTCCATTAGTATCACATGAGTATATATAACATAAATCAGATTTCATTTTAGGGACTGAAAAGTTCTCCAAGTACCTCACCTTCTGAGCATGGTAAGAGACCACATGTCAGACAAATCTTCATCACGAGTCCCTTTTCTCTGTTCTTCCTGCAAATAAAGTTCGAAAAAAAGAAGAGAAAAATTCAGAATATTAAACTTACTTGCTTCATGACCCAATGGAGATACAGTTGGCATTAATTATTACCTCAAAGAGAATGTGAGATGAAACAACTGAATCCCACTGTGGATTCTTTGTGTCTAAAAGCACAAGAACAATATCGAACCTGCTTAGTAATGGTCCGGAAAGTGTGGTGTTGACGGACAAAGCTAAATCGTGTTAAAGAATGAAGAAAATTACACTCAAAGGATAGAAATTAGTTTAAGGCCTTCTTATCTTATGTATAAAAAAAAAAGGGATGATCTTTCATCCTCTAATATATACATAAAGTATTAAGTTTCTATCCAGAGAAAAGGATACGTTGATCTGGGTCATACTGTCCTTTTGGATTTGTTGCACCAAAAACAATTGTTCTTGTGCTGAGAGTCGTCACAAGACCAGCCTGAAAATTTAAGAAAAGAAAAGAAAATGGCCGTACAACCAGAGTCACCACGTACCATGTCTAATTACTTCTATATGAGTTGTGTAAAAGTGAGTACATGTTTCTATATAGTCTGCAAAATATACAAACGAAATCATTCAGTGTGAGGTATGTTCTTTTTTTGTTGATATGCAGTTCTACAATCACTATAACATATTGGTCATCAGATAACAAGATTTTAGAAGAAAGACAAGGTGAGTGAAATTTCTAGGCTGTGGGACATGGACATCACACAATGATATATAATTCAACCAGGACATGGTTAATAATAAACTTTAATATAGAACTTAGAATGGGGAGCTGAACAACCAGATGCTAAGAGAACACCTTGCAAAGATTAAAGAGAGAAGCAACAACAATAACATGCAGAGTGTTTTTTTATATATACCTTGGCTACACTTATGGTTTGCTGCTCCATGGCTTCATGAATAGTTGCTCTATCATGTTCCCTCATGCTATAAGGATAAAAGCAACAGAAAAGAAATGAATTGGTATTTGTAACTCTACTATAGATTGCATGCTAAAAGCACAATTAAGAAAGTGTGGTAGCACAATATCATGAATCTCGACAAATAGAACTAAGGTGTTTTTTGCTCCGTGAAGTACTGTAACAGAAAAAAAAAAAAAAAAAAAA